GACAGGTAAATACTATATCAACTATGAATTTTATTACAAGATAAAAAAATATTAAAAAGTAAACGAGTCGTATCGTTTATTTGCTCGTAGATAGAAAATAATCGTTCGACGATGAAATATCGTATAAGGATAGAAAATCAAAGGAGAACGAGCAACGAAGTTTTATCGAAACGATGGGAAGAATAATCAGAACAATAATTAGTAACTTCCGGATCTGCACTGGAAATTGCTGCAAGGCGTATCTATTGGTACAGGAGTTTCAGTCTCGATATGACCGACGCGACGCACGCGTCCTAAATATCTCGTCTACGAGTTCATTAATACGATCGATAAACGAACACTATTTTTTATCTTCGATCATTTAAAAAAAAAAAAAGAATATTTCTCTTCCTCTATATTTTATATTTTCGTCGACTATATTCGTAAAAAATTTATCTTAACTTTTTATCATTTATTTGTATAAAAATTTATTACCTACCTTTATACATTTGTATATCCATAGATAAATATCTGTATAAAATTTTTAATTAATTTATATATCATATAAAATACGCAACTAATATATATATATATATATTTAAAAATAATATAATATTATATGATATTTTTATAAAGGATTTCTATAAGTTGAAAAATATCTTTCCGTTTACATAACGACGACCAACGTCATCTTCTTTCTTTCTTTTATTTTCTTTCCTATTCGTTTCTTTTTATTTTTGCTTTTCTTTTTTTATCTTTCTTTTTTCTTTTTTCCTTTTTTTTTTTTTTTTTTTTTATTTGATCGAACACGCCATTCCAGCCATCGCTATCGATAACGACGTTACGTTTTCAGCCGGTATTCGATAGATCAGAGAAGGGAGCTGGAGCTTTAACGACGTACGTTCTTCTTTTCTGCTGCCTACGCGTCTCGTTAACGATCGTCCTTTCGTTGACGACCTCACTGAACCAGCTTCTCTCTTCGTGTGATCACTGTGCTCTTTGATGTGTAAGTATTGTGTGTATTTTGATTCGTTAGTATTTACTCATTTTGTTAAACTTTTTGTTTTATAAATTCCATATAAATCGATAGAATTTTTTGGACTTTTTATAGAATTTTAACAACGTTTTTCTCTCTCTCTCTCTCTCTTTTTTTCTTCTCTTTTTCATTAATTTTTTTTTTATTGTTTCTTTGTATGTTTTTCTTTCATTTTTTTTTTTTCTTTTTAATACAGATTTTTTAACATCCTACGGGATTATAGGAAATATTGAAATGACGTATCCCTTTTCAAACTCCTCGACCGAGAAAAATCTGAATTCAACGATTTTTCGGCCGAAGAAATGGCAGCGGATACGTCCTCGAATTTTATATTGCACATCTATCTATCGTTCGAACTATTTCCAAGGGAAGAGCTTCTGAGCTTCTATCCGTGAGGGAAGAAGTTGTAAGAACGTCAGGAAGATCCAGATCCTACCTTCCTTTTCTCGAAAACAACTTTCATATTTCGACGATGCGCGAGAGCGCGTAGAAAAGAGCAAAGAAATACTTTCTTCGACTTATACAAGAGGCTGCTTTTAGCTAGCGTAGGAGGAAAAAAAAAAGAAAGAAAGAAAGAAAGAAAAAATAAAAAAACAAAGAAGAAGATAAAAAGAAAAAAAAAATATCATCGATACAATTTTGTGGAATAATCATGAATATATTTTATTTTCCATGTTAGAAGTTTTATAACGATAAATTATTTCATTCAAGTACTATACACAACGATGATTATGATACAATATTACAAAATGTTCATTTTCATTTATAATATTTTATAATATCGTTAAAACAATATATATATATCTATAATGATATACTTATATTTATATATGTATATATATATATATATATACTTGTTAGTTAATAATAATAATACTAATAAAAATGTGAGATATAAAAGGTGATAGAATAACGTTCGACGAGTTAGAATAATAAATAATCTTTTATATCGACAAATTGTAAAGATTAATTGGAGTAGAAAAATAATTTATATTTACAGTAATGTGTTCGTACAGTAGCGTTAGATTTCTTTAAAAGATGATAGAAACTTTGGTATGGAATTAGTAGATAGAATTTTTGAGAAAGAGTAAATATTCATTATAAATCGAGTGAAAGATAAGCTTGTTGTTTAATACAAGAAAAAAAAAAAAAAAAAAAAAAAGAAAAAAAAACAAAACGTCGTTTAATATACGTCAGTAACCGAATATGAAGTCTCATAGTTACGAAGCGAATGATTTTCTTTATGATTATCTAATCCTTGATCGCGATCATGATCGCGATCTTGAATTTGAACTTGGACGTGATCTTGCTGAGAATAGAAACTGGTTGAGGCGTGATCATTCTTACCGGAAGTATGAACTATAGCGTGGAATCCATCTTTATCAGCGTGATAACTGACAATCCTTAAGGCACCTCCGGGTTCCTTTACACTATACTCGCCAGATACACTATGACCTATTAAATTAAATGAAATCAAATAAATTTAATTTTATTATTCACAAATCAATCCCCAGATCTCATTATATTTGTCATTTATTTTTTTATAGATAACGTTTTTTATAGATAACTCGAATTAAATCAATTTTTATCCGATCGAAATGTAAAAAATCCAGCAAGTATTTGATAAACGATGTTCGTTATCGTAGAGCAATTAAAAAAAATTTTCAGCTAGTAATTATTAAAAGTAAACGAACGAACAATTTTGTAATAAGACAAATTCAAAAAATAACAAAAAAAAAATATATATATATATATATACTTTTTTTTTTTTTAACTAATAGATTTTTATCGAAAAATTAATTGTACGATTTCAGATATAACAGTTTAAGATTGAAAAATTTTTAATTGCGATAAGGAAAACTCAACTTATATCGTTTATATCATAATTATTATTTAACTTACCATTTCTTGATTCTTTCTGTCCATGAAAATCACCGGTATGATGATCCTCAACACCATAAGCAAATTGATACTTGGGATTTGCGATATAGTCGAGAGAATCTCCGTGATCTTGAAAATCCTGATCTTGACCGATTCTTTGAGAAAAGTGATTGTTTTGATTCTTGAGAAAAACGTACGGTACTTTCACTTCGTATTCCGGGCCTTCAACTGGTCCGTGAAAATGTATGTAAGAACTCGCTAAGGAAACTTGTGGTTCATTGTGCGTCCCCGTTTCATCATCGTCAACAGGTATCACGATTGTTTTCGATCGATGAATCATCGTTATGACGAAAATTATTATCACCTTAAATTAAATGGAAAAAAAAAACTTGTAAAAAATTATAATTCGTATATATATAAAACGTAATTCATTCACATCGATATTATTTTATATTCGTTAAATGTATTCGAACAAATTGAAAAAATTAATTTCAATAATTTCGTTAGTGCATTTAATTAAAAATAATCGTAGACTATTTGTTTAAAATTCATTTATACATTTCTTTCAATATATTCATCTCTTTTGGAATATTCTATCAATTTTTGCGTTCTATCTTTTATCGATCGATCATGAAGGAAAAAGAAAAAAAAAAAAAACAAAAAAACAAAAGAAAAATTTGTCTAATTCTATTCTGATTTCAATTATATCGATTTAAATCACTTTTTCGAGGTTCTACCTTGAAGGATATCACTTCCATTTCTATATATTAAGACGGTCAGGTGAGAACTGTGACTTTCCAATGTGTTTTCCATCCTTTTATATGCTAGTCTTACGATATTCTATGTCCACACATGGATATATACACATCGTTGAAGAATCTGTTTGTTCCGTATCATCGCTTTAACTTGTCGGAGAGAAGCGGCAGTTGTCGTATGTAATTTCTCTCTTGAGTCCACCTCCTCCTTCTACTCCTCCTCCTACTACTCCTCCACTTTATATATATATATATACATATTTTTTTTTTTTTTTCTAAACTGACCAACATTAACAGTAAGCACCAGATGTTATAAGAGCGACTATGAACGTCGTTCATCGTTACGAACATACCCAGGATCCAACTTGAAAGATTATCTTTCTCGATTCTTTAATCGTTCGATATGATAAAAAGAAATAAAAAAAAAAAAAAAAAGAAAACAAAGAAAAGGACAGTGAGAAAAAATTGTGAACTTTTTTTTTATTTTTATTATTCGTTTATTATTTTTCTTTTTTCTTTTTTTTTGTTTCTTTATTTTATTTCTTTCATTTATTTATTTATTTCAAATCTGAGACTAATCCGTCAAAATAATGATTTTCAAGGTAAAACTTTATTTATTTTGTTCTCTGTTTTTCTTGTTTTTTTTTTTTTTTTTTTTTTCTTTCTTTTTTTTTCTATCCCAGAAACGAGAGAGATTAATGTAATAAATTTCGAAGAAATTGTATTCATCATAATCGTCTCGCGTTACGTAAATCTATGTTATAATAATATAGAATGAAACAAATTTATGAGTTAGATCATTTTTGTTGTAATCATCGGTATGTTCCTTGGAATAGTTTTAAATGGAATATCATTCAATCGAGAAAGTTATTGGCAAAGTTGTAATTCGAATGAATCATAAAAGCAAATTCATAGTATTTAATAGACGAGAAACATAGTTTTCTCTCATTTTGGACTGATCTAGTTTGGTCTACTTTTCTATATGAGAGTCTGATAGAAATGAAATATCTTTCGAAAGAAATCTAACGAGATTTCTTATTGGAAAGAACGAGATTAGGTTTATCTATAGTGCATGTTGATTATTGAGAAATTTCAATAAAGACAAATTTTTATAATCCGAAGAAAATTATGCTATAAGATTTCTAACGATATTCTATTAAAATTAATTAACGAAAATCCTTCGAAAATTTTCACCGCAACGCTCGATAATCAATTCCAATTTGAAAATTAATTTTGCTTTGTAAGAACCAAAATAAATGAACGAGTAAATGAATGAATTAATTGAAAAAGAAAGAGAGATAGAAAGAGAGAGAAAGAGAGAGCTTTTAATTACTAATTAACAAAAAGATTTACTTAATAGCATACCTAAAATTATAATCAAAAAGTAAAAATGATATATTCTTATATTTTCTTTTAGATAGATTATGATTAATGTGTATTCGTGAATCGAATATCGTGTTAAATTAGAATAATTTATTCACTTTCACGTGATAATACGTACATACATAGACATATTCTAAAGTTATATAAGCAATGTCCGAAGAAAATTGACAAAAGCCTTTTAGAGAGTCGATGGCTCGTTTAACTGACATTAAAATCATTAGGAAGTCTCCTTGGAGGTATTAATTTAGCAGAGCATGTCATTACCTAGCCGAGAAAAGGAAATAATTCGATCAAAGATAATGGCATTTCCATTCGATGAGCTCCATAATGGCCGCATCGTATTTCGCCTAATAAGCCAATCAACGGATCGAAACTATTATAATGAATTGACAAGAGTTTGCTATATCCTCTTTCTCTCTCTCTCTTTCTCTCTCTCTCTCTCTCTCTCTCTCTCTCTCTTTCTTTATCTATCTATCTATCTCTTTCCATCTCTTTATCTCTTTCTTGTCTTCTTTGACTTTCTTCTCATCGCTAATTGGATCTTCTTTGTAAAAAGTCTTTTAGATATATAATAGATATATATCTACATATACATATACATATACATATACACATATAGAGAGATATATATATAAAGACTATTGTTGTTGTATATGTAAAGATTATATAGTGTCGTACGACAAAGTTCCTTTGAGAAATATATATATATATATATATATGTATATGCGTAGTCGTATAGTTATCAAATACAAAACGAGAAAGGCATTATAGTACTTTTCGAGTAGCTTCGTGTCATGCAAATTTTATCAATTAAGATTGATTACATAGTCAAATGAATTCTCCTTTTTCTAATTGTATGAATACCATCAAAAGTATGTATGTATATATATATATATATCTACCGTATCATCTAATCAAGCACACGTTTTTCATTTTGCAAAGAACGAAAGAGTATTCTTTCGTTATCCCATAGCCTTGTATACTTGTATAGCCTTGTATACTCCAATTATCCTTTTAGTTCTCAAAATAATAATCTTTAGTCTGAAGTAGATACGTTAACGAATCCACAAATCCTATGTAATATCGCATGTCCATTCCTTGATAGAAAAGAAAAAAAGGAAGAAAGAATAAAATAAATATATCTTCAATAAGATATTTATCTGATAATTCAAATTTTTTAAAAGAGAGACAGAAAGAGAGACAGGCAGACAGAAACAAGAGAGAGAGAGAGAGAGAGAGAGAGAGAGAGAGAGAAAGAGAGAGAGTTAGAGAGAAGAGATATAAAGGGTAAAGGAGATAACATAATTGAAGATCTTTATTCTATAGAATATTTCATATTCTTTGCGTTGGTTAACAAGAAGAGATTTTTCTAGGGGTCTTCGATGATCGAGGAGTTGGTACGTTATTATCGTTCGATTTGAAGGAACTTTCGGAGAATATTTTTAGAGTATGTAGGGTATATATATATATACATAGAAGGAAAGAGAGAGAGAGAGAGAGGGGGGGAGAGATTTAAAAAGAGAAAAAGACGAAAAGACAGAAAGAGAGAGAGAGAAAGAGAGAGCAAGAGCGAGAACGAGAGATGGTGGAAGTCTTCTCTCATTCTCGTCATTTTTCTTTTTATTTTCCCTGCGGAGAAGGCTATCCTGAAAGGCTGCGAGACCGCGTCAAGTGCAAATTGCAGTAGACATTCGATCTAGGTCACGTCGGTCTACGAACGGACGAACGTGGTCGGGTAGGTACTTGATGGTTAAACGAATCCACGAAGGTGGAAGAGAACAGGTTTCTCTCGTCGCTTCTCTCTCTCACTCTCTCTCTCTCTCTCTCTCTCTTTCACTATCATCTACCGATAACGTACCATCTCTCTCGAGTCTCTTATCATAGCTTTTGCGCACAAACACGTTTATACATATACACGTTTAACGATCGATCTCTTTGATTTACGATCTACGATAGTGTTCTACTCACATTAAAGCCGTTTAACGTTGGTAAGCGACGAGTAAACGAGACGGTGATTTGAGCAGAGAAATCGGCCCTTGTAATCACACATTCCTAACATATCTCTCGATTGATAATGAGCTACTGTTTAGGTTAGAAGAAATTAAAACATAGAGAGATATTATCTGTATTGATGAGAAAATATCGATTGTCATTGTACTTGCGATTTTTTAATTTTATTTGTTTGTTTGTTTTTTTTTTTTTTTTTTTTTTTTAATTTACGATCTCTCGTAGAGATATGATGAAATAAAATGAAAAGTTTTATGCCGGATGTTCCGTTTCATTCAACTTGACCGAGTTAAATGCCACTTAATGTCTTTTTATATGAATACAAGAAATATCTCTCAGGATAAAAGATAATCCTTTTCTTCGATGAAATAATTATTGTAATTATTGATATATTTTTCCCAAGGTCATCGTTTTCATTTGAAAACCATTTATACTTTTTTTTTTGTAATGACCTATAACACGATTGACCAGGTCAAATATATAACTAAAAAAAAATATATATATATATATATATATATATATATATATATATATATTTAAAAATAAATCATACAAATGTGTGGGTCTCTAAATGATTCTCAAAAATCCATAGTTAAGAGTAAAAATCTATAATGTGATATTTCCATCTAAAAATGTAACTGAAATTTTAATAAATGTTTGACAAAAAGAAAACAAAAAAAAAAAGAAAAAAAAAAGAAAAAAGAAATTAATTTACAATTAAATTCTAAATAAGTAAATGTAAGTGATTAGATAATAAAAAGCGGTGATTATTGATTATGATAAAATGAAGAAAGAAAGCGAAAGAGAGAGAGAGAGAGAGAGAGAGAGAGAGAGAGAGAAAAAGAGAAGAGAATATTTTTAATTTCAAAGTCTACGACAAAGACGTCCCCGACCATTAAGACAATACCATGAAAGAAATAAACGCATAATACTTGTACTTACACTCCACTTGCATCTTTTGCCGACGTTAATGACGACTTGAACGTATAAACGTAGAAACGTACAAACAAGTAGCAATGGGGTTGGTATTCGTAGCCGGAAACGGAAACATTCCGTTTTCCATGAGCGTGCAGCAGCAAGCTTATTGCGCTCGAGTTGTCAGGGGCTCGATTAAAATTCTCCTCGAAATTTCTCATTCGTCTAGCAGACTACGACTACGAAGACGAGGACGAGGACGACGACGACGACGACGAGGACGACAACGACAACGAAGACGAGGACAACGACGATGACGACGACAATGTTCTGCACGACTTTAAAGTCTTGGAATTTCTACTTACGATTTTTCACACCATCCACATTTCATTCTCTTTATTTTTGTGTCTGTCTCCCTCCTCCCCCTCTCTCTCTCTTTGTCTATTTTTTGCATACATTATTTTTGAAAGCCAACAGAGTAATTGGCAGAGAAATGCTCGATCCAGGAGTAGAATATATATAATCCTTTTGATATTATATTTTTGGAGAAGTTTTATGTGACACATTGGACACAAAATAATTTCGTGAAATGTTTAATATACGATAACGATAATGATGATGATCGTAATGATATATTAAACATGTGAGTAATAATGTATCCCTTTATATTTCTTTCATTTTCTTCTTTTTTTTTTTTCTTTTTACTTTTATCAAAACTTTTTACGAAACGTACAATCGTTATTATTTATCATCTTACCTTCCGTACAATCGTTTACGATTTTTCAATGGTTTCCTCGCGAATATCTCGTTCATAGAATCTTCTATTCTATGCTTTAACTTGTTATTATTTTCTCATGCATTTTTCGCTATCGCACATACAATTCCAAATATCGTTCGTTTTTCGAGAAAGAGAAAGAGGGAGAGAGAGAGAGAAAGAGAGAGAGAGAAGTATAGAGAAAATGGAATTCAAAATGGAATACTATCGATCTGTTATCGTCCATTCTTCCTATAAATTAAACGGCTGTTACTATTTCCATATGCATGGAAACGTTTTTCCATTTATTTTTACGTTCATGAAAACATTCGCTGACGTTTATACGCGGAATTACAGTGGCATAGAAACATGTACAAAACTATAAAATAAAAAATAAAGAAGGTTTATTTAAGGCGAATGGAAGAAGGGAAAGGAAGAAGAGTAGGATGACAAAGGGGATGGGAATCCTTAATGGGACATTTTAGTTAATTGATCTTCGTTTGGTGATAATAAAATTAATGGCTCATTGGATTAAGTGTTTCGAATCGTTTTATTTTTCCTTTTTTCTTTTTCTCTCAATTTCAATTATAAAACGAAGAAAGAATATTGAATAATAGATAAGTAATGATGCTGATGATAAGCGAGCGAATAATCATTCGTTCGTTTTTAATAGAAAGAATACAAAATTTTGATTGACTCTGTAAGAGGATGTAACTTTGAAGTGATATCATAATGATGTGTGTATATGTATGTGTACTCACAGGCGTACATATATTTTTAAAATCTCATCTCATATTTCTGGAGGAAAATTAATTGTCAGTTTTTACTTGAAAATTAAAATAGTTAACTAAGCATAAGCTGTAATATAATACGTAATTACATACATACTAGTGTCTACGGGTTATACGTACATATACTAATTGCAGTGTAATTATATTAGTCTCAGTTATATACTAATTACAGTATAGTTAAGCTAACAGATCTATGTTATAAACTAATTATGGTATAGTTCAAGTTACATACTGATTAGTATAGTCATACCAATACAATTTATATAGATATATTAATTACAATATATGTATCTATGATATATATATATATATATAAGTTACATATTAATAATAGTATAATTCTGTACAAAATATATAACGATTACGATATGCATAATTATATTTTAAATGCCTTAATGATTATTATTAACTTTTCCTTTTTTATTTTTTTATTTTTGTTTTGTTTTGTTTTGCTTTTTTTCTTTTGCCTTTTTAGTAGACCTTAACACACAAGCGTTCATTGTAAGTATCTTCTTAGAAAAAAAAAAAAAAAATGAGTAGACTTTTAAATACGATACGTAAATCAAAGTTCAAGATCCCAATTCACTTATTTACACTTGTCACGCTTGCTCGCTCAAGCATGAAGCTTTCACTGTAAACGTAAAGATAGTACAACTCGATGTGATACACTCGCGTTGCAAACTTAAGACCTGTTGATTGTGCCGAATCTAGTCCTCTCTAAAATAAACATAAATATGTATATACGTTGACAGGTAAGTACTTAGTTACTCACTTAAACTTGTAGAACGATCATCTAAAAGAGAAAGTTATTCATGAAGGTCTCATCGATGGAAACGAAACGAAGATAATTCGTCGATGATTAAAAAAAACATAAAATGTCTTTCATCTTTTTTCATTTTATTTTTTTTTCCTCTTTCTTCTTTTTTTTTTTTTTTTTTTTTTTTTTATTTATAAAGTTGTAAACATTAATTTCTTTTTTTTTGTTTGTTTTCTTTTTTATTCACATAGACGAAATATAATTAGATTGGCCATGAAATATTTCACGTTAATTAACCCGAAATTGTGTACAATTTTCCGTTGAAATGGAAGGGATGAGGTGTAATTAAAAGAAAAAAAAAAAAAAAAAAAAAGAAAAAGAAAAAACAAGGAGAGAAAAAAAAGAAAGAAAGAGATAAAATTCACGAATTCCATTTATCGGTTAGATTTTAATTAACTAAATAATTTTCGACGTTCCATTTTTTTATTAATTTTTATCGAGAGAGAGAGAGATAGAGATGAAGAGAGGGAGGGGGGAGGAGTATGGGGAAAGAGAGGGTAAATGTTTGTAATAATATTCGTATTCATTTGAAAATTTTACAATGTAATAAAACGTCTTTTAATAATAATCAATAATAATAATGATAAGTATGATATAAAAAATTACGAAAAAAAAAGAAGAAACAAAGTATTCGTACGATATCTTTCGTTAGAATTGTGTTTAAAATTAATTATAATAAAATAATAAATAAATTTAAAACATTCTCATGTCAAACTCTTCGTTCATCATATTATTCACGTTTAACATCACAATCATTGAAAAATCATACGACCGTACGTTTAATCTTTTACAAAACAAAGTATATTACAAGGCGGAAGCACTGAATAATCGTGTTCGAGCATAAAAAGTGTAGCTTCCATTTTTATAAGCTGTCAAAATGAACACCAGCGTTGGAGAGAGAGAGAGAGAAAAAAAAAAAGAAGCAAAAGCAAAAACAAAAAGAGAAGGAAGAAAAAAAGTCGGTCGTAAAAAAATTTTCTTCGCTAAAGAGAAATTTTAATTTTTTTGTCTTTTCCCTTGGCAAAATAAAAAATTAATTTTTCAACGTGGGAACAATAGGTCGAATTATATCGGTCTATCGCTAGACAATAACGCGATTAGTTTCAAAGGAATTTCTAATTGAATTAACGCGTGGAGAGTAAAGGGGATGGTGAGGACGGTGGAGAGTGGAATGGAGGGGGATGGAGAAGAGAGGGAAGCAATAGCACACGCCAGTATGATAACACCAAAGTCTTGGATGATGTCACGTAGATCGGATAACGAACGTTCGAATCGGATCGACTGAGATAAGCTTGGATCTTACCGATCCTTCGTACGAACAATGTCTAAACGAAACATCTAAGTAAATATAGATGAAGGATAGAGGAAGTAGTAAGTACTATCAGAGAAAGACAGACAGACAGACAGACAGACAGACAGAGAGAGAGAGAGAGAGAGAGAGAGAGAGAGAGAGAGAGAGAGAACATTACTAGGAAAGAACAGTTTGATAACGCTGTGAGACACGGTCATTAAATTTAGTTCGTATCTTAATTAAACTGGCCCGTGGTTTAACCAATTTCTTCATCGTCCCTATATCTCTCTTCAATCTCTTGGGGATGTCGAGAATTACTCGTAATGTAGAAACTTGTACGTACTCGTTGAATTTCGAACTAGGTGGCTATTAACTTGTCGTCTAGAGAAATATCGGTCACTTTGAACTCGGTATATCATCGTGGGATTCGATAAATATGGTTTATATTATTCTTTAACTTATATAAAGAATTATAATTGTATTATATTTTAATAGGTCAAAGAGAGAGCGAGAGAGTAAGAGAGAAGGAGAGACTTTTCTTTCTTCCTTTGCCTCATTACATTTTCTTTACATTTTCTTTTTTCCATATAGTTTCTCCCAATCCCAAAAAAGAAAAAAGAAAAAGAAAAAAAAGAAAGAAATAAAGAACTATTCAGTTATTTATACAAATTCTCATAGCGAGCAAAGTAAAATTGAGAATAGAAGATTATTAATTTTAAGTAGCTTAAGGAATAAATGACATCATTAACTTTTGCGAAATAGGTTACAGAAGTTCTTGATTCCTTAATAAAAGGACAATAGGAAAAGGTAAAAAGGATTTCTACTTTGAAATAAAATGACCTTTTTGATGAATTCTATCGATCGTTTGAAGAAAAATCTTTCTTTCAAAAAAGATAATTACACATTTCATATTTTAGATTTTATTTTTACAATCAATCCGAAGTAATATAGTTAATTTGATTTCATATCATATTTCGCACTCGTCAAAGTTTGTTGATAATCCAATGCAATCGAAGATTCCGCGTTCAATTAAACTTCCAAGTAATCGAAACCGCAATAAAATGTTATCATGGTGAATTGATCATAAAGGTAGACACGAATAGATTATCCTTACTTTATAGAAATTATTTTTCTTTTCTTTTTCTTCATTTTCTTTTTTTTTTTGTTTTTTGTTTTTTTTTTCTTTTATTATAAATAATAATAATAAAGTAAATGAGAAAGTGTTTTTCTTTGACGATCACTTCGACGTCAGATTTTTTGGTTTTATTGAAATTTAATAACCTAACATATTTTTCAGCGATATTTATAAAAGCTTTTATATGTCAATCAAACGATGAGCTGATAGTTCGAACACGATAGTCCATTGTAAAATATCTATAACAGAATCATATCGATCTTTGATTATCCTGCCATTCGCGCATTCAGTTTTATCGTTGAAAACATTTACTGGCAAATGTCATTTATAAGCTAACAGTTTAACTTGATTTGTATTCGTTTTTTTATCGTTTTTTCTTTTTTTTCCATAGAAAATATGATGCAACAATAACGAGGGACAGATCTTTGGGAAAAAAAATATCTATCTCATTATTCGATTATCCGAATATATTTATATGAAATATTGATAAAGTCGATTCTATTATAAAGGTAAGATTCGAGTGCATAGATAAATAGAGGACGTTTTACCCTTTACAATGGTATTTTTTTCATTTTTCTACGACTTACCATTGCGGAGATATTCACTTCGAAAGATTTTCATTCATTTTTAGCGTATAGTAGTACTCGTAGTAGTAGTAGTAAACGTGAGTAGTAGTAATGAAAGATACTACGTCTGTCAATTGATCGGTAGCGTACAATTCCAAGAATTTATATAGGTCAGTGTGTCAATATCCATTTAAATGGAATTATAAATGAATGCAAAAACATATGTTATTTAAAAAAGAATATCTTTGGAACTAATAATCACAGAGACTTCATAGAAAGACCATTTAAAAGGGCAAATTTTGCGTTATATTTTTTAAATATATATCGGTAATAGTTAATTAACAATTTGTTATAAACAATTTGTTATAAACAATTCGTCAGAAATTATTTTTATAAACAATTTTATTTAAACTTTCATTACATAATGCATTTATTTTACAAGAATAAGTAACGTGATTTGTTATAAAAAATTTGTTATAAATAATTGTTATAAAGGCGTATGAAGAACGATGAGAAAGAAAATGAAGGAAATTCTTCATTAGTAACAAAAATAAAATACCAACGAGATTTTCCGACCAACAATTTCTGGACACATTTAGATTTACTTGTGATAACTATGCCCATAACCACCGTAGCCAAAACCACCGCCACCGTAACCACCGTAACCACCGTCTCCATGGCCATCCGTGTAACCGCTGCTGTCGCCATGACCTCCAGAACCACCGTGACCACCGTGTCCACCATATCCGCTACCGTAACCTCCGTGTCCCCCGCCTCCAGAGCCACCCCCATGACCACCACCTCCGTGTCCACCGCCTCCAGAGCCACCCCCATGACCACCACCGCCATGACCACCACCGCCATGACCACCACCGCCATGACCACCACCTCCATGACCACCGCCTCCGTGTCCTCCGCCTCCAGAGCCACCTCCATAACCACCACCTCCGTGTCCACCGCCTCCAGAACCACCCCCATGACCACCACCTCCGTGTCCTCCGCCTCCGGAACCACCCCCATGACCACCTCCTTCAGTAACACTATAGCCTCCGCCACCATGCCCACCGCCTCCATGTCCTCCGCCTCCACCCCCTCCTCCATGTCCTCCACCATGTCCACCTCCTCCTCCAGATCCACCATGTCCTCCACCATGTCCACCGCCTCCTCCCGATCCACCATGCCCTCCACCATGTCCACCTCCTCCTCCAGATCCACCGTAGCCTCCATGTCCTCCACCTCCAGAACCACCATGCCCTCCACCTCCAGAACCACCATGTCCTCCACCTCCTCCTCCAGATCCACCATAGCCCCCATGTCCTCCACTACCAGAACCACCATGCCCTCCACCTCCTCCTCCAGATCCACCGTAGCCTCCGTGTCCTCCACCTCCAGAACCACCGTGCCCTCCACCTCCTCCACCGTGCCCACCTCCTCCCCCAGATCCACCATAGCCTCCGTGTCCTCCACCTCCAGAACCACCGTGCCCTCCACCTCCTCCACCGTGTCCACCTCCTCCCCCAGATCCACCATAGCCTCCATGTCCTCCTCCTCCAGAACCACCATGACCTCCTCCTCCTCCTCCGGATCCACCATAGCCCCCATGTCCTCCTCCACCACCACCATCACTTCCATGACTGTAATCCCCATGGTGTCCATACGCGTAATGCTCGTAATAATGCGTCGGTTGTTTGTCCGATCCGAAACCATTTATATCGGAATCATACTTTACGTGGAAATAGCTTCCGTCCGAAGTATAATCAGCTGGTCGTCCACCATAGTTGATTGGATCATGTCCGCTGTATTTACCGATCAAATCGGTCACTGTAAACGTAAATTCAGATGGGTTAATCAATATGGGAAGGTTCAAGGGAAAAAGTTTCTAGAATAATTTATCTTCGTTAACAATTTAATTACCTTCGTCGCTATCTTCGCTACGAATAATCTTCATACTGCCATCTTTAATTACGTAAGAAAATTTATACGACGGATCGGCCACATTATCCGTCCATTCGAGCTCCCTCGTAGCCAAGGACAATTCCAAGATGACGCAGATGAATCCGCAGGTATAAAGGAAGAACGAAAGCTAAAACAAAACAAAACAATAATAATAATAACATTAATAATAATAATAATAATAATAATAATAATAAAGATTGCATTGATTAAAATAATTCTCGTTTTTTTCTTTTTCTTTTTCTTTTTCTTTTTCTTTTTTTTTCTTTGTTATTGTTTCTTGTTTCTATCTTTTTTTTTCTGTTCTTTTTTTTTTTTTGTAGCTCAATAATGATATCGTTTGAAGACCTTGGCAGCCATCGTTGTTCCCCATCAAAAATATTATACCAGTTTCGTTCTTTCAACCTGATTGGAAACTGTTATCCTCTTGATCGTTCTACTCTGCTTTTATAGGAAAATATTCCCCGTTCATATTACGTAGCAATTTCTTTCACGTCTAAGTATCTTGTTTTTCGATCGCAAGTAAATTCCCCGATAATACTTGCACCTTAACGTTCTAACTCGATTATTCAATCACGCATTGATCACAGTTTTTACTGTTTTTTTCTTTTCGATAATGGTTTTAAGCAAAGAAGTCGGCAGGCTTTAACAGACATTCAACCATTGTCGTAATCCGTCTATTTATGTCCATAACATTTTCTTGAGTTTTAGAAGTTTACTATTATTGATTTCAAATAATGATTGAATTGGTAAATGTTAATGATTTAATTATGTATACATTATAATATATTAATAATACAATATATAATTATTTGTACATGTATAATTATGTATATATAATTATGTATATATATATATATATGTATATATCTTTCTCTCTCTCTCTCTCTCTCAAACGTATAAGAATAATTAAACTTTCGTCCTTATCGTCCTATTGCGACCTATATATAATCGAAACTTTAGGGAGAGGAATGGGGATGAGAGTTGGTAAGAAGCAAATCGTTTTTCATTTAGAGAAAATTTTCTGGGAAAGTCATTCGTTAAACTCTAACACGCGACGACTCTATGACGTTTAATAATAATACTTCGAAAAGTTTTCTCTCTCTCTCTCTCTCTCTCTCTTTCTCTCCCGCGTGCGCTCGCGCGCGCACTGTTTCTCACTCTGTTTCTCTTTGTCTGCCTCTCGCTCGCGCATTCGCACGCGCTCGGATATAACATGGGTTCCCTTTTTCAGAGAGGATAAGAGAAATTAATAAAGCTCGACGAAAGGAACTTTATATTCCTTTGTTCGATATTAATAATACAAAAACGTAAACGCGGTGAGGTAGAATAATCGCGTAGGAAGGTAGGGGAGAAAAAATGAGAAGGGGTTGGTCGGAGGGACGGGAGGGGTGGGGAGGGGAGGGGTCGGCCATAACGGGACACGATGGGAGAATTGAGAGAAGCTTTTTCGTTAGGAAATAAAATTAAATCTCCAAAGGTGTCGTTAAAGCAAGTCTAGTCGCTTCTCGATAAGGTACTTAAATATCCCGGAAGCTTAATGCTGGTGCAGATTCATGAACCTCCTTAGACATCCATCGAGTTTCTTATGAGAAGCGACGCGATGAAAGAAAAAAAGAGAGAGAGAGAGAGAGACAAAGAGTAAAAGTGAGATTTTTCTTCTTCGATAAAAAGTAAAAAGGACAATGTCTCGACGTCAATGAGGGCGTTAAAACACGTTAAAATTCGTTAATCGATCCTTAGAAAAATTTTCGCGGAAAGGTCTTAGCTAGAAAGATTTACTTTATGTGAAAAGGACAAGGAGATGGAGTGAACGCTCTCGAGGACAACGTCAAAGAGCTATTTGGGATAGTTCTTTCTCTCTTTTTCTCTTTTTCTTTCACTCTCTCTCTCTCTCTCTCTCTCTCTCACTCTGTATCTATTTCTACTTATGTCTCTCTTTCTCTCTATGTCTTTCTTCTTAATCTTCTTCCCTTTCATGTTTCCTTGGCGCATCTCAGATTTAGAGTTCATCCTTGCTAGCTGACAGTTGCCATAGCACTTTACTGATACTCATAGTATCTCTCATACAGCTAACGCCTTTAGGGATCATCTACAGGCCAGTGGCCGTTCCAGTTTATCTTCTCTCGAAATAAACATCCTACAGGACTGCTCTTCTCTCTTTGCTTCTGTCCATTCATTGGTTTACTTCTCTTCGACGTTGATCTTCTGGGAATACCTGCTCGTTGACGTTTCTTCGACAAACTCAGCAAAAGGAGAACTACATATATTATACATGTAGACACACATACACACACACACACACACACATATATGTATAATGCACATGTATAATATATATGTTTATATAAAATATATATATATATATATATGTGTGTGTATATGTATATATCGATATATAGTAAATTTATAAAGAGTAGACACATTCAAGTAAGCAATTAATGTCCAAGTCGTTCGTAGATATTACTCACTTGTCTTTTTTCTTTTTCTTTTTCTTTTTCTTTTTCTCTTTTTTTCTTTTTTTTTTTTTTATTTTCCTCCTTTTTTTATCATTTAATCCAATATCAAGTTAACTAATAAAATTGACTAAACGACAAAAAAAAATTTAATTAGCTTTACTTAATATTATTAAGCCGCCCGTGACATAATAAATAATTGATATTTCTTCTTTTATTTTATAAAGAAAATTCGTTGGACAAGTTGAGCGTGTCAATGAAATGCGTGTAAAAGAAGAAAAACAAAACGATGAAAGGAAAAGAAAGATAATAAAATGGACGAGATCTCGGTGCAACCGAGAAGAAACAATCTGACCGGATATTAAATCAAAGCGGGTCAATTAATTATTTTCCAAGAGAAGAAACGGTGACATCGAGCGAAAGTCACGCTTACAGGATGAAAGTTCTTAAGGGGGAGTAGTAAAAAGCTCCCGCAAACGTGGTTGGAACAAAGACGGGTAAAGTAATTTCCTTTAAAGCTTGATTGAAGGAGCTTCCGCGAAATAATAATATGAAACGAAAATTGTTGATCGTTGTTTCTTTTTCCCCGTTGCCATTTTTTATCCCAGCTTCTTTTTTCTTCTTTATCCGGGTTTTTTTTTCTTTTCTTTTTTCGTTTATTTTTTATTTTTTTTTCCCCTCTTTTTTTCTAATTTTTTTTTCTCTTTTTTTTTTTTTTCTCTTTTTTTTCCTTTCGTCATTTGCATATTCGTCGTGCCGGGTTAACGAAAACGCTATGTGAGTAAAAACTGGGACGATTTACGGGCGGTACACGTCGTGCTGATGACAAATATTCACAATTCGATGGCGTGATAAAACAGAATTTGCGCGGACGGGCTAACCAGCCCACCGAAAGCACTCTCTCTCTTGTATCCCCTTTACCCTTGCCAGTACTACCACCATCATCATCACCACCACCACCACCACCACCACCACCACCACCACCACCAACACCACTTCTCCTTGTTACGTGTATCGCGTGAATCGATAATTTGTCACGTTGCCATATCGCGATGGCGTAATTAAGAGTCGGCGCCTCATGAATTACAACGACGTGCGAGTAATTCTTGGCTTACCGCGCAATCTACGCAGCCTGCACATTCCTCGAGGATGTGACACAATTGGGCTATTATGGTCATTCGTTACACGACGTAATTGCATTCAAGCTCGTGTCCCTAGCATTGTATGTATTTTCACGTTTGGAAACAATTGCATTCCTGTTACAGACTAATTGTTCTCACCTTGAGAATCACGATTTTGTTCGATTTATAACGTTTACACGTGAAATTTCCTCGAGGAATAATCGAACTCCTTTTGATCAGAATTGTATCGTGGGAGATATAATATATATATATATGAACTACTATGTCGTACAGTTTAGATAGACCGAGTAGAGTCTTTTCGAGTTACCTTCTCGCTAGACAGGTGTAGAACGATCACGTGAGTAGAACGATCGGTACGTGAAACGATGTGTTGCTTTTACGACTTTGCGGAGCTTCGATTCGCCCACCGAGAGCCATTAAGCTTTTACGATCGATGATCTTCACGATATATTTCTTGAACATTCGAGTAGTCTCTTTCTTCGCCAAACACATAAGAGAGAGGTAGACAGAGAGAGAGAGAGAAAGAGAGAGAGAGAGAGAGAGAGAGAGAGAGAGATGTATTGATGAGATTGGAAAATGGATTTTCAAAAAAAGAAAAGTAAAAAAAGAAGAAGTAATAGAAAAGAAGAAAAAGAAAGGAAGGGAAGAAAGAAAATGTAATTTGAAAATATTTGTATTAATATATAACGCATTATAATCTTAATAAATATGACACTAAAAGTGATGATTTTTATAAATTTAAACATACATACGTATCAGTTGTTCGTTGTTGAAAAAAATATAAATGAGGAAGTGGTGACTTTTTTAAAATTACGACTCGATATATCGATTCGCGAATCGATTGTTTCTACTTTGCATAAAATATTCATATCTTACGATCTCCAAGATAGATGTCGACTTCGAGAAAGTCACAATGAATCAACGAGAGATGATAAAAAGGATCTTATTTTATTTCTTTTTCCTTTTCCTTTACTTTTCTTTTTTTTTATTTCTTTTAATCCTATATATATATATATATATATATATATTCGTTTTGCTGTGAAACGAATACCAATCGTCGAATTCACTGTGAAATTTTATGGTTGAGCACGAAGGAGAAAAGAACGTCAGCGTTATTTTCAACGTGAAGTCGGTGAAACGTTACCTGTTCCTCTTTTGAATCTCTTTTCCGTAACAGCTGATGCTCGTTTGCGTTTCAATCGTGACCATCTTCCATTTCTACATAGAAACGATAGAAAGTTCACGGGAAACAGAGAAAGCAGTTTCGTGATGAGACTAACGACCAACTGAATCTAATTTTAAGCGAGACATGGTAATATTACAAAAGCTTGATATCAACTGGAATTATAAAATGACGAAAATTTGATTCTCTTTCAAGGCATTATTTCTATATTATATTATATTGTATATTTTACATTTGAAAATCTCGTATCAATAAATTCTACTTTTCTTTTCTCTCTCTCTCTCTCTCTCTCTCTCTTTTTCTTTTTCCTTTGTTTTTGCTTCGTTTTATTATTTTCTTCTCTTTTTTCTTTTCTTGTACTTTTTTTTGTTTGTTGTTGTTGTTGTTGTTGTTTATTTTATTTAACATACGAGATAGCGCGTGTACTCGAGCTTTATTTTTTGTTCACCATTTAATAATTGTTCGTCGTTTAATTACTACGTTCTGTTCTACAGTTACGTAAAACTTTGTGTTCAATCTACGACAATGCTGTATGGTTTCTGGTGAAGTTCATAGTATTCACTTTTCTATTTACTTTCCTTTCAATCAGTTCAATATAATAGTCCAATCGAATGAGATTTCTTTCGGAC